CAGACGTTTCTAATCAATCATATGATCTTTCCCTCCAAAGTCTGGAGTGGCCTCGGGATTTTGAATTCTTCTAACAGCCATTCCTAGTGGTTTGCCATTGTGGCACGCCTGGAGGTTCTTTACCAGCTCTTATTTTAGACAGCGATTTGGGGCTTAGAGAAAATAACTCACTCAAGGTCCTAGGCAAGGTGGTATCTGAGCCAAGTTTTCAGATATTCAGAAATGTCTAGATGTTTACCTTACTTGTTTCTCCCTCCCCCCGAGATTCAAATACCAGGACTAGCACAGGGTGATGCATACCAAGTCTCTGGAAGGACTGAGTTGCTCTCTCTGCCCATCGGTTCCCTACAGATATCTTTGGTTGGGCTGGTGAGGGCAGAGCTGATCTGCTGCCCGAGATAACCCCTGGCTAAGGAGGAGGCTGTTTCCCTAAAGGCAGCTGTCAAGTCATCACTGGCCCAGCACAGCCCAGCTGTCCCTGGAGGCTGGGAGGGAGCAGTGGAGGAAAGGCAGCTTCAATACGGGCTGCTGGAAGCTCAGCGCCAGCCTTCCCTTCTCCCCAGTTAAGACAGAGGGAGCCAGCCAGGAGCAAGTAAGCAAAGACTTACCAGCCACCTTTGTTGGGCCTTGGGCCTAATGACAAAGTCAGTCTGGCTGGACTGGGCCACCACAGGCCAGCAGAGGGAGGGAGGAAGTGCTGCTGATTCCTTACTAAGCATAGGGCTTGGGCCCTACAGAGCAAGGTCAACTCCAAACTGACCAGAAGAAGGTTCCAAAGACTTGGAAGCTGGACTCGGACACCAACCTGCTGCGTGACCTCAGCTGAGGGACATTCCCCTTGACATTCAACTTTTGTGTCTTGAAAATATAGGGGCAGTCAGGTAAGCGTGCGCACATGTGTGTGTGTGTGCATGTGCGTGTGTGCACACTTGTAAGTTTGTGTGTGCATGTGTGTACACCTGTGTGGACATGTGATGTGTGTGTACATGTATGTGTGTAAGAGAGAGAGAGAGGGGCATCCTCACATTTCAGGACTGGTATTCTATTAGACTATGTGTTTGCATATTTGATGGGTGTGCCTGTATAGGGAACATATGGCTTGACTTGGAACGTGTCTGTTGGTCTGTAATAGGTGAGAATCAGGGCATTCATACCCATCAGGATGAACTTGGGAGAGGGCTGGAGATAATGGCTCAGTGGTGAAGAGCACCTACTGCTCTCAGACAACCCAAGTTCGGTTCCCAGCACCCACGTCAGGTGGCTCACACGCTCCAGGGGATCAGATGCCTTCTGGCCTCCTCAGGCACATGCACACCCATGAGCACACATCCATGTGCAATACACCCATGTGCACACACACATGCATACACACACCTACACATAATAAAAATAAATTTTTTAAAAAAGATGTACTTGGAGAATTTGTGCATGGATGTATGCACGCAAGTGAGGGTGTGTGTCTGTGTATGTCTGTGTGTGTGTATGTGTGTGTGTGTGTGTGTGTGTGTGTAGAACTCACCTGGGAAGATGTGACAGTGTGTGTGTGTGTGTGTGTGTGTGTGTGTGTGTGTGTAGAACTCACCTGGGAAGATGTGACGATGTGACTGAGTCCTGCACTTATTTTAGCTGTGCCGGTGGGTTCCTGTTGGTAAAATCCACATCCACAGGTCTACACTCCACACACATGGATTTGTGCTTGCCCCGCATCTCTCCCCTCATTTATCTGCCTAAAACAGCTCTGCAGACAAATAGTCAACTGTTTACTTCATATCCTTTGCTACTTAAAACCTCTTTTCATCAAGGAAAGCTGCAGCTGGAAATAGTGAACCCAGCTGTGCAGCTGAGGAGTCCCCAGCTGGGTAAGACCTGCTCAGAGCCCTGGTGCCGCCTAAGCCTTCTTTCCTGCTTCCTTTCCTAAGGGAAGAAAGGAGGCAGCTATTGAAAATGCAGGACAGGGGCTGGAGGATGGCTCAGCAGTTAAGAGCACTGTCTGCTCTTGCAGAGGACCCATGTTTGCCCAGCACCATATGGCAGCTAACAATCCTCTGTAACTCCAGTTCCAGGGGATCTGACGCCCTCTTCTGACCTCCACAGGCATTGCACAACATGGGTACACTTACATACATGCAGGCAAAGCAGTCATATACATAAAATTAAAAATAATAAAATATTTTAAAAAATAAAAACACAGGACATCAGTGCCTGGGATCAGGTTCACAGGATTTGGGGGCTAGAAGTGTGCAGGCCATTCAGCCCAGACCCCCATCTGAACCTGAGGCTAAGATTAGTGTCTTTCCAAAGGTTACCCAGTGAGTTATAGCCCATGCCTTTGACCAATGCCCCTCCTTTCTTCCTTCCTTGCTTCTTTCCATGTGTGTGGTATGTATGTGTGTGATGTGTGTATGTGGTGTATGTGTGTGGTATGTGTATATAGTATATGTGTGTGTGATGTACATGCATGCAATGTGTGCACACACATGTACGCATGTACTGTGTGCATGGGTACGTGTACAGTGTGCGTGTGTGTATAAATGTATTGTGTGCCTCCGTGTGTGTGTGTGTGTGTGTGTGTGTGTGTGTGTGTGTGTATTTAGGCAAGAATGCAATGCTGGTGTTTCCCCAGCTGTCCCCCTTTTTTGACCCAGGATCTGGATCTCACCGACTGGGCCGAGCTGGCTGGCCGCGAGGTCAGGGATTTGCCTGTCCCACCTCCCCAGCCCTGGGACTGTAGACGCGTGTCACCACCCTGCCTTTCTCTTTGGGTGCTGAGGGTCCACGCTCAGGTCTTCATGTTTGTACAGCCTTCCTTCGCTGACTGAGTCATTGTCCCAGACCACTGGTCCTTCTACAGGGCAAGGCACAGTGCTCTTGGGAAAGAGACAAGAAGGCCCAGAATCAAATGAATTTAAACAAGATGATCTTTTAAATAGACCTGTCAGCACTTTTACTAAGTAGACAGTCTCTACAGCTGCTGGAGAAAAAAGCAATGGTGTTTGAAAAAGTCCATCGGAGCTAAAAACCCACTATTAAGAAGGGAGCATGTGTGTGAGGTGCTTCCCAGGGCTTTATCCCCCTCCTCCAGCTCCTCCCGGGGCTGATGTTATTGCTCTAAAGGAGGAAGAACCCTGAGCTCAAGAAGATAGATTAGCTCAAGGTCAAACTGCATTCTGAGGCCTTCCTGGGTTTGTTCTGGTGCTTGTCCACTGCCCTGGCTGCTCTGGGATGTGGGAAATAGGGACGGAGCCCAGTGTTTGCTGTCATCCCTGTATTGGGGGGTGGAGGGGCCTTTCAGACCTCGCCTGGTGCCTGACGTTCTCTGAGCATTCCTGAGTCCCCTCCCAGAGAGCCGGCAGAGACCCTGGGAAGGAAAAGAGGTTACCCTGGCAACTCGCATTCCTCCCAGAGTGAGTCACCGGGAGAAGAGCCTCTTGGTGGGTGGGGCTTGGAGAAAGTTTCAAAAGTTGATTCCTTTTCTGACTACCCTTTCCCCTCCCTCTCCCTGTGAGCCAGACCCTGTCGATGTGGCAGCTGATGTTTGAATTAACTCTCTCTGTGCCCATCCGCTCCCTTTCCCTGGTGCATCCTCCGCAAATGTGCATTTGTTTCTATTCTCTGCATCAAGCCCTTGTGGCATACTGAGGATCTGGTACCTATTTGGGAAGAGCTTAAGCCTGAAAGCTATGGACATCCATCTTCTCTTAAACACACACACACACACACACACACACACACACACCACTACACTATGCACACAATTTTAAGGGACTTGTAGTCACCTTGACACCCATTTAAAGGTCAGTCTGTAGACTCAAATGGCCTTCTTTGGAAAATTTCAGGAGATCCAGGCACCCTAAGGTCTAATCCTTTTACTTAGGACAGGGAGAAGCTCCTGAGAGATAGCCCATAAGTGTGCCTTGAGGCTTACTGTCTCACGAAGCGTCTGCCCCCCACCATACCACCTGGACTGGGGTGGCACAAGATGCTTCACCTAGGGAATCCCCAGTGGAGACACTTCTCTGTGGGAACGCTAGCTCTCCCTGAGGAAAATGCATACTACCTACCTGTTCCCTTTTGGGGAGACTCATCCCAGTGTACCCCTCCCTGATTGCACACCAAGTTCACTGGAACACAGAACTCTGAGCAGATCTAGTATCCGACAGGCTGGACCCTGGGTGTGGCTCAGCAGTGAGATGCATAGTGTGCCCAGGAGCTGGGCAGACCTGCCTTCTTTCCCCCCACCCACCCACTGCACCCTGCTCCCACTGCACTCTAAGCCCCATCTGGATTGTTCTGGCTGTAGGGTTTCTCAGATCTCTAGATATGGTACAGACAACTGCTGGTGAGTTACTGTGGTGACGGACCATCCTGCGGAACTAGGATGGGAACAATGGCAGTCCCAGTTTGAGAGGGACACTGGCATTTCAGGCTGACTGGCGCCACCAGGACTCAAGGGATCCAGACCTTCTCAGAGGGGCTGATTAAAGGGACTGTCTCTCCTTCATGGCTCAGAGATCAGTTTATCCTTCCTGCAAAGCCCCATTTGGAAAACAGCACCCTGCCTGACCCAGAACCTAGTTTGTTCTCCTGGAATAGGGAGCCTGACCCAGCCAGCTGACCCAGCCAGCTCTGCCTAGCCAGCTGCCAGTCAGAGCCTCTTAGGCTGGCTGTGGTGGGCAAATGGGGGATCAGATTCCCAGGAAAGGAGGCAGCTGCCACCGGGGGTGGGATGGGGTGGGGGTGGGGGGACAGCCAGAGTCTGCCTCCAGAGAGAAACAGAGAGCAAGCCCACCCTACAAAACGGGCAGATTATTCCTGCTCCGGGGACACCAGGTTGCACTGAGTGCCTGGAGAAGAGCAACAGGCGGCTGGTCGGCGCCGGTTAAGGGCAGCAGATGAAGAAACAGCCCCAGCTCGCCTCCCCACAGGCAGAAGATGGGGCTGGCCCAGTTGGGTTGAGACGCCCCACAGAAGGGCAGGGGGTTAGGCAGGGAGGTGCATACCTCGGCGGGCGCAGGCGGGCGGGCAGCAGGCGGAGGAGGTCTGAAGGGCTGCAGGAGTGTGGAGGGGTTTAGAGACAGCCAGCGGAAGGCACTCGGAGCTCTGGGCTGGGTCTGCCTCCCCTCCGCCTCCACCCCAAGGCCCTCCTCCTCTCCTGTCTCCTCCTTCCCGGCCTACCGCCCCCTTCTCCCCTGAGCCAAAGCTAACCCTCTTTTCTTTCTTCTTTCCATCCCTTTCGATGGGCTGTGCTGTCCAGACACCCCCCACCCCGCCCAACCTGCCTCAGTTGGCCTGGGGCTGATACTTTAAACAGACAGGAGTGCCAGGGCTAGAATAGCCGCAGGAATCACCTAGAACAGCCCTGGTCTTGTTCAGAGATAGGGGCTGCAGCCTGGAGAGTTCAAGGGCTTACCGAGGGCCCCGGGGACACAGCTAGGCCTGGAGTCCTGACTTTACAGCCAGTCAGTGGAGCTTGACCAAGTGGGGTGAACAAAGAAAGGACCAGAGCTTTCTCTGTCCAGCCAAAACAAGCGGCCACTTGCAGCACTGGTGGTATTAGAGACAGTGTCCTTGACCTTGAAGTGAAGTCTAAAAAGACCCTTCTTCTCTAGTGGCGCCACCCAGATACAGGAGGAATTAGACCTCCAGCTGGGAGACCATGTCATCAGTACTGAACAAATTCAGAGTGAACAAAGAAAGGACCAGAGCTTTCTCTGTCCAGCCAAAACAAGCGGCCACTTGCAGCACTGGTGGTATTAGAGACAGTGTCCTTGACCTTGAAGTGAAGTCTAAAAAGACCCTTCTTCTCTAGTGGCGCCACCCAGATACAGGAGGAATTAGACCTCCAGCTGGGAGACCATGTCATCAGTACTGAACAAATTCAGAGTGATTATACTGATAACCAGAGTACTGACAGTAGCCACTGGGCGCTATCATCCACACAACAGGCCTTTGACTTAGGTATTGTTTTCTTTTATTAGCTTTGGGACAGGGTCTGGAGTAGCCTTGAACTTGCTATGTAGTTGAGGATGACCTTGAACCTGTGTACCTCCTGCCTTTGCCTCCTCAGGGACTGGGATTGCAGGGGTAAGCCACCACACCTGGTTTATGCAGTGCTTGGGAATCCAAGGCTTTATGCAAGCTAAGGAAAACTCCACCAACTGAGCTACGTCCCCAGCCTGACTCGGTTTCTGTTAGGAGCCCATTTGGATAATAAGGACATGGGTTCTGAAGGATAAATAGTTTGCCTAACATCACTTAGCTGAAAGTGAGCCAAGGACGTCAAGTCTCCGTGTCGCTTGGTTCTTCCTTAGAGTACGTGGACTGCTCTGTGCAGCGGGGCTAGACTGAAAATGTGTACCTGCCTGCTTTGGGGGCCGGTGGAAGAATCAATACAGCATAAACTCTGGGTCTTGCTGACAGGAGGCTATTCCTCACACACACACCCGCATCCTCAGAGATGCAGACCCTGGGCTTTTCCCAGGGGGACAGGCTGGCGGAGGCTTCCTGGAAGGAGTGCGTGGTGAAGCTCCAGTTGGGTTTGGATAACATGAGGGAGAAGGCAGAGAAAAATCTCCAGATAAACTATGCACCAGGGCCCTTGCCTCTCTTACCATGCCCTTTACTGTCTTTACACGCCTTCTTCCTCACCCACTCTGCCCCAGTCAGACCAACTTCCTCTCTCAGCTCATCAGCTACTCCGAAGCCATCCTCACTCCAGGCTCTTTGCACCTGTTCTTACCTCTGCCCAAGACGTTTTCCACCTGATTTTCCTGGGCCTGGACCTTGCTTATCCTTCAGGTATCTGTTCTATCTAATGTCACCTCCTCAGAGAGGCCCTCACTCCCTTGACAAGCCCAGGAAAACAGAGACATCATACATCTCTCGGTTGAAGGGGCTCTAGCCCGAGACAGAGACCCTCAGACCTCCTATAAACAAGTACTTTTCTGCAGAGAATAGTCATGGCTTCCTTGAGGTTCTCTGAAGGACCAGTGAGGAATTCTAGAAGGACCTTTTGCTCCATGAGGCCCCTGAGGCCTCTCCCTGACCCCACTGCTAAGAGCTTTGGACCGCTGAGTTGAGGGTGCTGGTGGACTACCCAGACAGCAGATTTGCTATTAGGACAGATGTCTATTTTTGTGGGATTGGTTGCTATAGTTCCCAGGCTTCGTGGGAACTAAAATTAACAACAGTTTGTCTTTCCGTTTGTTAAGCTTTGATGAGTCTGATGGGCCTAAGCAGAAGGAACTGCCCAGTGCTGACTGGGGTCCCAGGCGGCCCTGGGTTCAGGAGTGGAAGCCTGCTTGGAGCTAGGGTGAGGCTCTGGGACTGAGAGCCCAGCAGGGGTAGGCGGGAGTATCAATCACAGGTCCCAGTGGCACTGGGCCTGGAGAGATGGCTCAGCAGTTAGGGGCACCTTGCTGTTCTTGGAGGGGATGTGAGTTCTCAGCACCGGTGTTGGGCAGCTCACAACTGCTGCTGCTCCAGCTTCAGGGGTCTAACCCCTCTTCTGGCCTCTACAAGCACCCACATACAAGTGCACATACACGCCCACATACGCACAAATACATAAAATAAAATCTTTTTCTTAATTTTATGTGTATGAGTGTATTGCTTGCATGTATACAAGTACGCCGTGTGGTGCAGTGCCCATGGAGGTGAGAAGAGGACGTCAGATTCCCCTGGAACTGAAGTTACAAACAGTTGTGAGCTGCCATGTGGGTGCTGGGAATCAAACCCAGATCCTCTGCAAGAGCAGCCAGTGCTTTTAACCACTGAGCCATCTCTCCAGTCCCAATAAAATATTTTTTAAAAGTGCTAAGACCCTAGGCCGGGCGTGGTGGTGCACGCCTTTAATCCCAGCACTCAGGAGGCAGAGGCAGGCCGATCAATGTGCGTTCAAGGCCAGCCTGGTCTACATAGTGAATTCCAGGACAGCTGGGGCTACAGGGAGACCCTGTCTCAAAAAGACCAAAAAAAAAAAAAAAAAACTAAGACCCCAAGATGGTAAGAGCCAGGCATGGAAGCACATGCCTGCAATCCCAGCATTCAGGAGGTAGAAACAGGAGAATCAGAAATTCAAGATAATTCTTGACTACATATCAACTTTGAGACCAGCCTGGGCTACATGAGACCATGCGTGTCTGAGTATAACTAGAATCATCCATTGGAGAGACTCCCTGTTCTGCTTCCCTTTTAGGCCTTCCAGATTCTTCCTCCTCTATTATTTCAGTGATCGACGGAGCAGTCTTGTGGAGGGTCAGGATAGGATTAGAACCTACAGTACAGACCTCCATCAGCCAGTAGGCCTGGGCCTCAAAACCAAGTCTCCTGCCCCATCTCAGAACCAGATTCTCAAATCCACCAAGGACCCACTTGCTTTCTTATGGTGACCCCTGAACCTCTACCACCTGAGGAGCCATCTCTGGGAGCTGGACTGGGGCCAGGTGGGCAGCTGAGTGTCCCTTATCAGGACAGGGTACCTGGAGGGAGACTTGAACTCTGGAAATAAGCCCAGGGGGTAAACAAACAGGCAGGAATGAAACATAAGCCAGGCCACTGAGTGCCCCCCAGATCTGTACATCAAAATGGCGGTGGTTTGACTCTCTGGAGCCTTTTAGGTAAAAACACAGTCGGGGCTGGGGGTGTGGCTCAGTGGGTAGAGTGCTTGCCTAGCAGTGTGAAGCCCTAGGCTCCATCCCCAGAACTGCATAAATCAGATCAGACTGGTGATGCACGTCTGTGATCTTAGTACTTAGGAGGTGGAGGCAGGAGGCTCAGAAATTCAAGGTCATTCTTGGCTACATGAGACCCTATCTCAAACACAAGCCAAATGCAGCCAGTTTTACTCGTGAAAATTTGAGGCCTTGCAGGGGACCGGGTCCCTCTGAGGCAACAATGGCTGAACTGAGGAGATAATACTCAGTATTACTGAGCAGACACCAGAAGGGGTTGTGTGTCCCTTTTTTTTAATTGTCTTTTTGAGACAGGGTCTCCCTGTAGCCCCAGCTGTCCTGGAACTCACTATGTAGACCAGGCTGGCCTTGAACTCACAGAGATCCTCCTGCCTCTGCCTCCCAAGTGCTGGGATTAAAGGCGTGTGCCACCACGCCCGGCTGTTTTTGTTTTTTGATTGTTGTTATTTTGAGACAGTTTCATGTAGGCCAGGCTACCCTTGAACTCATGAGCCACAAATGACCCCGAACTTCTGATCTTCCTGCCTCTACATCTTGTGTGCTGAGATTACAGGCTTGTGCCACCATGCCTGTTTTATGCAGTGTTGGGAAGTGAACCTGGGACTTCGTGCATGCTAGGCAAGCATCCACTGAGCCACGTCTCCAGCCTTCCTCTACCTTTAAGTGCTTCATTCTGGCCTTTGCTTCTGTCTTTGCTCCTTTTATTTATTATTTGCATTTTATGTGCATTAGTGTATTGCCTGCATATATGTAAGTGCACCTATGTTGTGCAGTGCTCATGGAGGTCAGAAGCGAGTGTCGGATTCCCCTGGAACTGGAGTTATGGACAGTTGTTAGCTGCCATGTGGGTGCTGGGAATTGAACCTGGGTCTCCTACAAGAACAGCCAGTGATCTTAACCGCTGAGCCATCTCTCCATCCCATCTTCACTTCTTTATCTGATTTTGATCTTCTTGCCCCCATCTTATAAGGCCCCATGACGATATTACTCCCACCTCAAAATTCCTTAATCTTCAAAATTCCACCCAGCCCCACTCTCCCTGGATGGCGAGGGAATGGAGGCTCATGGGGGACAGTGTGGGTGGCTAGGCCTGGGGCCCTGGTATCCTAGCCCAGCTTGCCTGGTGCCAACTCCTCTGGACTCAGGGTGAAGGATCACGTATCTCAGCCGTCACAGCTGTGTGCTTTGCGTGCCTGGCTCAGAGTCATGGCTGCTCAGCTCAGAAGCCAGGCACACCAGAGACAGACTCTGCCTGCTCCCTCCTGACTATATTTTTCCCCAGGCAGACCCTCCTATTGGCTGAGGGCACAAAGATCCCATTGTCGTTGGGTCCTTGGTCCCCTGGGCACAAAGGCCAAACACAGAGGAGAATGAAATTTCACTTCAGCTCTTCTCTCTTCTGGAAACGTTGCCCCAAGCAGCTGGAAATTCTCCCTTGGTGCTGTGCA